GCAATGGGAGCAGTCAGGTTTGTCTCAGATTTTTTGCAAAGGCTAATTGACTTCATGTTTGTGAAAGTATTGGAAACAACCCCTAGCACATAGACAGTGCTTAGTGAATGCTATTTCCTTTTCCCCCACCTTAGAATATGTTTGTTATGAAATGCTTAAGTTGTTGGAGCAAGGTATATGAAAGGTATTTTTATTTACCTTGCTCACAATTCTATAAGGTAGCTAAGGAAGGTGCAATTATGCCTGTCATATGTAGAAGAAAACTCTCTCTGAGAGGTAAAGCAATTTGCTCAGAGTCATGCTGCAAATTGGTGCAGAACTAGAAGACTGACGCCCTAATTCCTAGCCCTGTGATCTTTCCATTAACTTTTTATTGTCACCACTGCCTCCATCTCAGTGAAAGCTCCTGTTGTGGCCCACCCCCAACCAATTCCAGCTCCCAGGATGAGGCTCCTTGGTGCCTCTTTCCACCCCTCCCTGCACTATTACCCCAGCTTCAATTCCATCCCATTTTTCAGTAACTTCCCTCTACCTCTACCTGGGTCTGGATGCTCAGAGACTAATCTACATAGTGTATGAGTCCAAATGACTTTGGGAGGAATGCTCTTTTAAACAAAAGAGGTTGATTTCGATACCACCATACATATTGTGTTGTTAAATATCTACAGCATGATAAAATCATCCTAAATGCCACTAATCCCTGGGGAACTTATTAATAATTAAGCATTTTTAGTTCACTTAGAAATGCAGATTCCATTTAACAACAGAATGTACACTAAATATGTCCATTATATTGCAGCTTACAGAGGAATATGTTAGAGATCTCAGCTGGGTTTCTCCAGGACAGATGACAATGTTAATGCAGGTATCAGTCTTTCCTAAAGGCGGCAGAGGAGCCAAAAGCAGCATCCTGGATTGGTTTATAGGGTTTGTGTTTATTAGGAGTGTTTATTAGGATGACTAATAATGAAAGAGACAACTTGGCAAGGGTAGGAGTGGATTGGAGGAGAGCCGGGAGAAGCCCAAAGGAAATGGGATGATCTCGAAAAACACAAGGAAGGGCAGCAACCCAGGGTTTGTGGTGCATGAATAATTTGTCCATACACTGATTTTTAAGGTTTTCAAGGAATAGGCGAATAAAACTATCATTTTATATGTTCCACTTGCTTGGAAAGCCATTTACATTTGTGTTTGGCTTATTTCAGAAAGATATATAGTCATGGTTACACACATACACACTCTCATACTTCACACACATGTACTCTTCCACACACACACACACACACACACACACACACTTCACACACATACATACACACACATACATGCACAGATACTTCTCTTCAAAAAGCAGTTTTATTTCCTGGGCAAAGACAGAACAGTAAATATCAAGAAAGAATGGGGAAGAAGGGAAGGGCAAGAGAAAGGAGTGGAGGGAGGAAGGCAGGCAAGAAAACAGGCTGGCAATCTTTTTTGTCTCTTCCAGAGATTTACTGTTTCTTCCTAGGCCCACCAAAAAAGGTTTCTTTTGAAGATGATAGAGAGGAGGGAAGAAAAGAGAGAGAAACTGAGATAAAGAGAAAGTGAGAAGTGGCAGTGGTGAGATGCAGGGGAATTAGTTTATCCTGGCATTCGTGTTGGAGCCCTGACTCACTGAGCAATGTGGGATCTTGGGCACGTTATTTAGCTTCTCTCTGGGGCCCTTTCCCACCAGCAGTTTTCATGATCCTAGAGACTCCCTCTAGCCTTAATGTTCCAGAAACCTAGGCTTGAAGCAGGGAGAAGGTCCCTTCTTAATAGTGCCTGAAGCCGGGCGCGGTGGCTCAAGCCTGTAATCCCAGCACTTTGGGAGGTTGAGGCGGGTGGATCACGAGGTCGAGAGATCGAGACCATCCTGGTCAACATGGTGAAACCCCGTCTCTACTAAAAATACAAAAAATTAGCTGGGCATGGTGGCACGTGCCTGTAATCCCAGCTACTCAGGAGGCTGAGGCAGGAGAATTGCCTGAACCCAGGAGGCGGAGGTTGCGGTGAGCCGAGATCGCGCCATTGCACTCCAGCCTGGGTAACAAGAGTGAAACTCCGTCTCAAAACAACAACAACAACAACAAAAACAAACAAACAAACAAACAAAAACAAAAAAAAAATAGTGCCTGAAAACTTTTGCAAGCTTTTAGCAGAAAATGACTGTGGATGAATACTTCTACTTGCTTGTTTTCCGAACGGAAACTACATTGCAAGCTATGCCACTTCTTTCCTCCCTCACTTAAAGCACCTGCCAACCTAATAAAAAAGCCATAAATTTAGTTGTAAGGGCCCCAACAAAAGAGCAAAATCCTCTCCTACTAGGGCAGCCAGACTGTCACCAGGAAGTAAGAGCTGCAGGGGAGACTGCTCTTGTGCAGAGTGTAGCCAGCCTGGGTGCTGGAGGGGCAGCAAGGCGGAGAAGCAGCCCAGAATGAATATGGGCAATGGACTCAGCTAACATTGCTGTTTCTTAATTTCCTTCCTGAGATGATTGGGGTTCAGGGTCCAGTGAGTACTGCCTCAAAGTGACTTCCTGGTCTGAAAATGGTGTGTGCATGTCTGGGGAATACTCCCCAGGTGTTTTCCAAAACCAACATTTTCTGTTGTTTGGGGAGAGGGCAAGGGGTATTATTTATCACACAGCTGTCTCGGGAGAACAAGAGAGGGAGCTGAGCTGCGAAACAACTTGTGAACTTACAGACTATGAAAATGGCAGAGAAAGAGGATTTAGAGCCAAACAGATTGATAAACTCAATTATCTGGATGGTTTTCATTAGCCATCAGTTTTCCTTTTCTGAAAGTCGTGGTTGTTTTCTCCTGCTATGAACCAGCACTTCCCCAATGAGAATAGTGTTTATTATATTTCAACATTCACGGAAGCAGGTGGTGAGCTTTCCCATTTTGCCTTAACATACACACACATACACCACTACCACCACCACCACTAACAACCTGATAATGCAAAGAATTGCTTTGCTCTGTTCCTTTAAAAAATCTGAAAAAACTCCCTGGGTACAGTCAAGGCTAATCATCACAATTATGTTTATAACCAAGCGGGTGCCAACACCTATGGTCCATATGTTGCTTCAGATAGGGACTGTGGGGTCATATTAGATAGGGCATGGCCTCCTCTTCAGCAGGATTAACAGAAAATGTATGCCCGTGTGTGTGTGTGTGTGTGTGTGTGTGTGTGTGTGTGTGTGTGTGAATTGTTACCAGATTTAGCTTCTGGAATTTCTCACACCATAGGTTCCTGGCATAGAAATGCATCTTTGAAATTTCTAGGGTTCTAAGCATAATCACAGATTTTTCAAGTTGCCAGGAGAAGGGTCCAAGCAACTCACTGTGTAGATGATTAAACTGTGGCTCCAAGAAGTTAGCAAGATTAAGGGTGGGTCACCCAGCTGGTTGGTCAGAGATCCAGGAATGGAATCTTGGCCTCCAGGTTCCCTGTCCTGTGCTCTTTCTACTCAGTGTGGATTTGAGATCTGTTTTGCAGAATTTCCTTTAGGATTTGTACTCAGCTGGAGACAATAAATCGTGTTATGGGTTTATGTATCCAAAGCCTTCACTAGTCAAGTGTTCCCCAGCACTCTCCATGCTGGCCCACACTGTCGCAAGGCCACATCTCTCCAGAAAGGCATGGCAGGAGCACTCTGCTCTGACAGAACACATATGCTTTTTCATCAAAATCCCTTTTCTTTGTTCTGAGGTTAATTTCTCTTTGGCCTCAATTTCTTTTTTATCTGTGCCTATTCATTTATATTAGTTTGTATAGCAACACTTACATAACTCATCTTTAAATCTGGCAGACACTGAACATAGCTAAATGCAACTCATAGAAACTGAAAAGCAATCAAAATTTCTGTAGTATTTCTTATCCTCTCCTTATAGTGATCATATGATAAGTGGGAACTTTGAAATCATGTCAATATCAAACCTCTCTTCTGAAGATGAGGCTAAATGACTTGCCCAAGGGTAGTGCACAGCGTTGGGAATGGAATGGTTCCCCAGACTCACTTCTTTCAATTATGCCATATATATATATATATATATATATATATATATATATATATATATACCTGTTCATAGGTATCTATGAACCTGCCAAAATCTACATTTATGCCCTCTCTTTTCCAAATCCCTGGTATAGATCCTAGAGAGCAATGAGATGGATGTGACGTGCATAGAAGGAATACGGAGAGGACAGGATAAGGCCTGAACAACCCAGTTTGTGCTGTTCAAGGAATGAGCCACAATCCATATGTGCATATTTAAGTTAAAATTAAGTGCAATTAAACGTTTTGTTCCTTAGTTGTACTAACCACCTTTCAAGTGTTCAGGAGGCAGAAGTGGCTAATGGCTATCACATTGTACAGCATTGATATGGAACACTGCTGTCATAGCAGAAACTTCTAGACCTTCAGCTATCAGGACCAAATAATAATAATTACCATATACTGAGACCCAAGAGCATACCACACCCTGTCACTGGTTTTGTGCCTATTATCTACTTATTATTATTTGTATTTGTCAGAGGAAGAAATTGACATGTAAAGTTCTTAAAAATTTGCCCTCAGTGTTCGATAGTAAATGGCAGAAATATGAACACAGATCTGTTGATGGCAAACTACAATATGACTTCCACTTCTCTGTGAGGAGCCATAAGGACTGGTAACAATCTAGCAAACATTTATTGAGCACCTACTATGTGCCAGGTGCTATCCTAACAGGTAACATAAATATTCATAGACTCCTCTATAATGTAGGTATGATTATTATCTTAATTTTATAGGTGAAGAAATGAGCTTACAGAAGTTGAGAAACTCTCTTCTGATCACTTGGCTACTAAACAATAGAGTCAAAATTTGAACCCAGGCCACCTGACTCTATAACCTGAGTTCCAAACTGCCACACTCCACTAATGAACAACTGATGGTTGTGTCTGGGTTGTGTGAAAGTCAGGGACTGACCTGTGGCTTACTGTTCCCATCGTTATTCACAGGGCCGGGTTGCTATTTCCAGATGGGCTTCTTTGCCAGGCCGGTCCTCATGCCTCTGGTCAGAAGGATCTGCTCTGCTTCTCCCTGCTTCTGGCCGGCAAGGTGTGTTGCTCTCTCTGCAAAGCTGTTACAGCTAGAAATCATCACAAAAAGTGCGTTTGAGTAAGTCTTAACGTGGGGTCTTTGGCCTGCTCCTTCAAAGTGTCCCACCACAGCTCACCACAGGGCAACTTTAAGAGCACCCTGTTGACATTCCTTTTTAACACTGACTAGCCCAGAGGACACCCCTTCAGTCCTGGTGGGCTGGCTGCACTCCAGGGCATGTTGGTAAATCTAGCATCTCCTTTAATGTGCAGCAATCTAGTAGGCTTGTGAACTGGCTCAAAAAGTTGGCAGTGATATTTGCGGCACTCGTCTGTAGATTTGTGTTTAGTTTGGTCTAAAACCAGGAGGCATATGGACACCATATTCCACCTGCCAGCCTTATCAGGATATTCTGATTTTTTTTTTTGCTCTATTTTTCCATCACTTTGATATTTTTAGAGCATTACTCCTATCTGAGAATTGAATATCTTTGGTAAATTTTAATTGTGTTTCAGTGGTGAAATTCTTTAGCTCCCAAAAGGATTGTCTTTGCATGGGTTAGCATTTTGTCTTGGTCAACTTTTTGACTTTTCAAACCCTTAGGCTGTCTGAAAGACAAGCCAAAATCCTTTGAAGACTGTTTCAATGAGGCTGGGTCAATGGTCACCATATGAAAATTCATAAATGACTTTAAGAGAAGATGGCCTGTGGATTGTAAAGGTGGAAGTGCCTCTCTTAAGGCCTGAAAACTTAGGTTTCTTTACGTATTATGGAACAAATACATATTCAGACCAGCCTCAAACTGTCGGTGGTATGTGCTGGCTGTGGGCAATACCAGCAAATAACTGGCAGGATCTTCCTGGGATCCTACAGAGCTTCTTTAGTGAGGGTAATAACAGGCTATTTGGAAGCCAACTCATGTTATCGAAGACTTTGTAAACTTGGAGGGTACGATGCACTTCCTTCACATATGTGCCACCAGGACCACAGAAAGTCACTTCCACCTCCCCACTGCAGCCCAAATACACGGCTGTCTTGCAAGAGCACAACTGACCTTATTGTGCAATCACTGGCTTCCCAGGATGCTGACCTGAATTTTGCTACAATAGAAAAGTGTGGAAAGCATGTGAGAGTTATCTTATCATTCTCAATTTTTTTTTTCTCCTTCAAAACGGATGATGAACTTGAAATCTTTCTGCCTGTCCTTGGCAGCCCACATAATAAAGAACAGGAGATACGGCTATCTAAGTAGCTTTTTCTATTTCAACTCAAAAATTTTCTCATGTGCAGGCCTGGGACTTATAACTCATGATTCCAGTCCTAGATCTCCTAAGATGGAACACGTTCATATTTTAAAACCAAATTGGCATGAATACTTCAAGAGGTAGTACATTCCCTCTCATTGGAGAGACCTGAGCACAAGCTGGTTAGCTATTTATTTATTTTTATTTATTATTTTTCCATCTCTCTCTCCTGGTACTGGCTATTTAGAGGGTGTACTGTGATGGGGATTTAAGAACTGGTCAGATGGCCAGGCTAGATAACCCAATCAAACCCTGACAGGCTTTGATTCTAACTTGTTCTTCAGCCTGCAAGTGTCTGTATCCATAATGTACTATTCTTTAAACAGGCCACCCTTTTCCTTCTCAGGATCTTTGCCTATGCTGTGTGCATGTGTGTGGTGTTTTAAAATTTTCTTGAAACATTAACATGTCCCATCGCTGTACGTGGCTAATGCAGACTTTTTTTAAAATTGTTCAAATGTTAATGTAAATGTTTTCTGCTTAGAGAGGCCATTTCTAATCCATCTGCCTATATAGATACACTATGTTATTCTCTATCTCTGAAACTAATTCCACTCCGCCAAATGTATGCAGTTTGTAAATATATCTATAATTGTTTGCCATTTGGTTGGCTGTAGCCTGTAGGAGGGACCCGTGTCTATTTTATTCATTCATGTATATCTGTGCTTAGTATATAACAGGCACTTAAATAATTTTCAAATATTTGGCTGAATGGATGGATATTAAAATCAGATTAAAGTCATTTATAGAAACTATGCTGCAGAACTTTTTAGCTGGAAGACATGCTTAGATACAATCTATCCCATTGTTTACCAGAGAAGTATACCTCAGTTTCTTCTTTCCTTACTCTGCAAGGTTGATGATTGGGCTATATACATTTGTAAGTGCTATACAGCTATTTTTTATTAGGTCACCTGTTGGGACTTGCTTACTGTATCATCAGAAATCCCAGCAAGAGAAAAGGGAAGTTTTTTGTTTTGTTTGCTTTTTAAACAATATCCAGGGCTTGGAAATGTACAGATAATCTATCAATTTTTTCCAGATCATTTGGAATAATTTATTTTCCTTCAGACTTCATATAGCTCCAGCTTGTCTGTGGGAAGTGGGTGGGTCCTGAGGTCCTCCTCTGGTCCTGTGGGTGCACAGTGACAGTGCCTATCTGGCTCTTGGGCACCATGGTGAACTCTCCAGGTGGGGGCTGGCCGCACCGAGTGTGTGTGGGACCAAAGTAGTAGGCACCCATGACCAAACGCATCAAGAACAAAGAGGGAGGAGGAGGGCGGGTTCCTGAAAATAGAAGCACATCACAAAATAGATGACGAGTTGATAATGCCTTGAGGCTTTTGTTCAGGAACACTCCGGCACTATACAGGGAAAAATGACAGTGCCATATTCTTCTGTGAAGTGTGCGTCGGTTTCTCTTCGAGTTCTTCCCAAAGAAGGCCTTGTGGGTTGTGGCTAACTCAGTTTTCCATTTTTATCTAGATTTGTTCTTTAACGCAAGTGTTATTCTTTTCCAAGGATTGCTGTATCATCACATTAACAATAAGATAAACAAACTTGACAAAAAATTCACTGAAAACAATAAATGTGATAATCGCATATTCTTGTCCTAGGTATTCCCTTTTTGTTCTCAATTAAAAAGCATTTTCATCAGTTGTGAATGCTGTATCATTTGTTCACCTTAAATAAATACTTTTGAATCTAAAAATATAGCAGAAATAAAACTTTCTAAAAAAAATAAAAAGCTGAAACAGTGTCACATCAAAAATAAGAAATGGATTTTAGGGGATCAGGATGGTTTTCAAGAAGTTGATGTTTCCTGACTAGCCAACCTCATTTCAGGCCTCTATCTGGGGGATCTAAAGCCTACACCAAACAGCCAGCCCAGAACTCTAGCAGAATAGTATAAACACCCACTCAGATATCTTAGATTCATTTATACTTAAAAATATGAGTTAACTATGTTCATTGGCAGATGTTTCATAAAAGTACAGGATTTCAAGTAGCATTTGGTCAGCCTAAGACTATTATCAAGTAATTTATTTTAATTAGCTTTGCTTGAATTAAACACATTATTTTTTTTCTTTTGAGAAGGAGTCTCACTCTGTCACCTAGGCCGGTGTGCAGTGGCGTTATCTCAGCTCACTACAACCTCTGCCTCCCAGGTTCAAGTGATTTTCCTACTTTTGCCTCCCACGGGTGCCCTGCTAATATTTGTATTTTTAGTAGAGACAGAGTTTCACCATGTTGGTCAGGCTGGTCTCGAACTCCTGACCTCAGGTGACCCACCGCCCAAAGTGCTGGAATTACAGGTGTGAGCCACTGCACCTGGCAAAATACATGATTCTTAAGTGTGAGCAACAGTGAAAATTTGTAAGACTGTGACTAGATAGTGGTGCACAAGAGTTTGCCACTGTTAGGGTCATGGACTCAGCCTCACGTCTCTAGCTACAGGTAACTGGTACTAGAACTGACCAGGGAATCTTCAGAAAGAAGCGAAGTGACCTGACCACTTCAGCATTCACACCTGATCCGAGGAACAGCCTGGCTCTGTACCCTTCAGGTTATCAAAGCCTGTCTCCTCCCACTCACCAGCAGCCTTTTCAGAGGCAGGCTATTAACACGAAGAGATCTGATACAGCCTCTTCTTCTGTGCTCACACGTCCGCCATGACACACCAGGACCAACACATCAGAGCAGACACACTCATAACAAGACCAAAAAGCATCCACAGTGCTGACAATTTTATACTTGGGCCAGATGCCAGAACTGACTGTGGGGAGGTGCAGGGAGGGAGGGGATGCCCTACTCTTAACACTTTTTTGAAAACACAGGTTAGGGTTACTTTAACTTGGTGCTACTAGGAGACTCTGTTTTTTTTTTTTGCTTGTTTTCCCCTCTAGATCGTTTGAAGGTGGGGCCTCAGGTGAGTTCAAAAAACGGTTTTTAGACCCCAGGCATATATGGAACTAGCAGAGCTGATCAAGTGAAGGAGCAGAACCCTTATTATCAGCCCTGCATTGGCCAATGGGAGCCTGGGACTCTTTTCATGTTGCTGTGTTAGTTATCCATACAGCATCTATGTACCTCAAATAGGCTAAAATATTTTTTATCTCACAGTTTTTTTTTTTTGGTCAGGAATTCAGGGATAGCTTAACTGCATGATTTTGGCCCAGAGTCTTTCACCAGGCCAAGCTGTTGGCCAGGGTTGCTGTCATCTGAAAGCGTGACTAGCATTAGAGGATCCTCTTCCTAGAGGGCTCACTCACATGGTTGGTGAGTTGCTGCTGGCTGATGGTGGAGGCTTCAGTTCCTTGAAACATGGACTACTACAAACAACTCATGACATCGTGCCTGGCTTTCCCCAGAAGGAGTGATACAAGAAACAGCAAGGTAGGAGCTACAATGTCTTTTATGGGCTTCGAAGTCACACTATTATTTTGCAATATTCACTTGGTCACACAGGTTAGTCCTGCTTCATCGGGGAGGGGAATACACAAGAACATAAATACCAAGAGGCAAAGGTCACTGGAGATCACCTGGGAGGCTGGCAACCGCAGCTGCCTATTGGCCCTGCCATTGCTTCTGGGAATCAGTCTGCCCAATGCCTGAACTTCTAACAGCTATACAAATCCGATGCTCGCGGAGATTCTCGAGTATCCTTTTGGAGAAGGCTCCACAGCTCCCAACCTACTTGAGTCACGTGTGTGTGCTGGCTCAGTCCCCTGCCCCAGCCACCACACCTCTGCTTGGGGCACAGTGTGCAAGTGGGGATGGCTAGGAAGAAGGCTCTGATGAGCCAGATACACAATCATGGCTTAGAATTCGACTTTAAAGCCAGGTCCACCCCCTAGAGACTATTCTGGTTCTAAAATGGCCATCCAAACCTATTTAAGTGTCTGAGTTACACCTGTGAGGCTCTGGGGAGAATGTGGCCTCACTGGATTTCTGCTCTTTTCCTGGAGGGGAAATAACCTTGATGACTCAGATGGGAGTGGAGAAGCTCAGTTAGCAGTTGTTGGGTCCACCTTTGGTGGAAATCTGGAAATTCCAGTGAGCCACCATCATTTGCTGCAAGATAATCTAACCTAAGTTCAACTGTAAAATTTAAATTTGCAAATGTACTGAAGAGATAGAACATGCCAGACAGTTATACACAGTATTTCCCTTAATCGTCATAAAAAACCTGTGTAGTAGGTATCAGGCCCACCATTTTATAGAGGAGTGAACTGAAGCCCCAGAGGTTAAATAATTGCCCAAATTCCCAGCTAGCAAATGGGATAGCTGCGGTTCTACCTCGTGTGGTGTGTCTGCCTCCCAAGCCCGTGTGATACAGCTCTGTCAGAACTCTCCAAAAGAGAAAGGGCATAAATCACAGAAGAAGGTCTATCCTTCTTCTGTGGGAGCGGAGGGAGAGGGGGAGTGCCCTACACAGCCGCAGCAGCCAGTCATGGGGATGGGGGCTGGGGCAGCAGAGGACAGATGGGAGCTCCTGTTAGGAGCCACGTTTCCTCGGCTCCGAACCCTTGCTCCTGAGTCTGTGCAACAGCGATGCCCGGTCTGTCTCAAGGGCGGCAAACTGCGCCTCTCCCTCCTCCTACAAGGAGAGTCGGGTTGATCATAATGACAGTTCCTCTATGCCAGGCTTCCTGCTAAGTTAAGAACCACTTTTTAAAAATCCTCACAACATTCGTAGGAAGTAAATATTATTCCCTGCATTTGATGGCTAGGGAGGTGCGGAGTTGGGGAGTTTAGGAACAACCCTAAGGTGACAGAGCCCCAAGGTGTCCATGCTCACGTTTCAATCCAGGCTTCTGACTGTAGGGCCAGCAGAACTCTTAACCCCATGTTCCACAAGGCAGAGATCGCGGGGTCAGGCGACCGCATGGGCCGTTCATCTTTGCAGGAACTGACAGCGTTAGCTCCGACACAGAGGGCAGGGACCCCGCGGCTCCTCCAGGAAGGGGACTCGCCCGCCGGCCCAGCGACCCCCCAGGGAAGCCTCCCGCCCTCGGGCTCGGCCAGAACCCGCCGCTTAGGGCCCCTCGGTCAGGTCCCGGGATCCTCCCGCGGGCCTCGGCTTTCCCCGAGCGGAGGGCGACTCCCGCCGGGCGGGCCTGCGCGCGGGCTGGACCCGGGCCCCGCGGCCGGGGTGGGTGGGCCGCGGAGGGGGGCGCCGCGGCGCGTGGGGCCGCGCACGCGGTCCCCGCTCTCCTCCCGCGGGTCTGCGCGCGGCTTCGGCGGGAGCCCAGGGCGGCTGGGCCGCAGCAGCCGCGCGCCCGGGGAGGAGGGAGGAGGGAGGAGGGAGGAGGCCGAGGCTTTGTGTATTCCTCCCTCCCCGCCTCCCATTCCTGCTTTCTTTTTCCCTGACCGAAGTCCCGGTAGAGTATCCAGCAATTAGCACACGAGGAGGGGTGGGAAGCGGCGGCGGCTGGGGTGGGGGGCGGCGGGACCCCCGCTCGGGCCCGGCGCCGCGCTCCGCCTGCGCTGCCTTCGTGCGCCACCTACCGGCCGCCCCGGGCTGCTGCGGCGCCCGCCAGAGCTGTTCCTAGGCAGATCTTGATCTCCGTGGACAATAGACAATGGGATTTTTTTTTTTTTTTTTTTTTTGGAACAATGATTTATTTTTGGGGGTGGGGATAAGGAGGAAGGAGGGAGGGAGGGAGGAAGCAGCAGTGTGTTTGTCATCGCTTTAGAAAAAAAATCTCTGTTCTATCATTGTTTCTGCATATCCATTATATTGAGGACAAAAGAATCCCGTTCTGGAACAACAAAGCCAAGGGAAATGTTTTCTGTGGCTGACATTTAATTGTGTGCACAAGGTGCTACATTATCATGGGGAGAGACTGTAAAAAGAATAGGACACAGCCTCGGTTCAGAAGCCTGACTTTCCTGCTTTCAGATGTGAGCTTCCATGTGCCCCATTTTAGATTGTCTGCTATATCTCCCCCCATGTTATACCCGACGCATGATTCTGCGTTTCCTCAGAGTTTTCCGACCCACCGCAAGGATGCCTTGCGGATTATTTTTGCACCACCTCCAAGGTCTGTTCTTACAGCTAACAGGGATCATCATGTTGGGCTTCACAACCTCCCTACATGTTTCTTTTTCAGAAGCTGTTAGGGACCTTGGAGAACACGTTGTCCAACCCTCTGATTTTACAGATGAAAGAGGTAGAATGTCTAGTCCAAAGTCACACAGGTAATTAGAGAGGGAGGCAGGACCAGAACTCTTGTTTCCTAATCCCTGGTCCCTCTGACCTGCTGTTCGATGTCCTAATGCCCAGCACTCCCGTTGTTCCTCACTCCTTGGCCTCCTTTCTAGCAGGAGAAACCCCCTACACAGCGAGTTGTATTCCACAAAGATGGGTGTCAACTCAGGACGAGGGGACAGAAGTGTAAGCTTCCTGGCTTGGTGGCAATCCCTTTCACCCCCCTTTCCACCCCACCACCTCTGTAGACTGAAGACGAGGAGTGATGGCGATAGCATCTTCATTAATTTCATTATTTTGCTATGATAAGTTAGTATGTAAAACCTTTTGCAATTGTTCCCGACTCTCCAGAAAACATTCTCCCTGGGATGCAAGGGCATGAGCTCCACCTCAGATACAGGGCTAAACCGGAAGCCTAATAAAAAATGTGTATCATCTTTGGAAATGTACTGAGTGGTCTCTTGGCAAAGGTGGTTTGCCCTTGGGAACTTGAATGATACGGATTTCCTTCTAAGGCACATGAAAAGTCCTTGGGGAGAGGCAGATAGATGATCATCCTGGAGAACAGAGACATTTTTCTTTTGCCACCTTCCAAAACACTATGACAGACGGCACTCCCCTTTAAACTATTACTGTGTCACACTGAGACAGAAGAATTTTCAAGTTTCAGATCAGAAGCTCAGTAAACATCTTTGCACATCCAAAATGAGTCAACCCATCATAACAGCCTGCTTGTTTTAAAAGTTGTTCAGTCTGTTTAAAGCAAATAGACTGATCTCACAGTCTGCAGACAACTAGACAACAAGCAGAGAAGATTTCAAAACAAAAGGCCAGAGCATTCCCTAACTCTCTTTAAACTGTCTTCTAAAAGCACTGGAAAGAAGAAAACACACTTGGGTTGTAAACAATTTCTAAAGCTTTCTGCTGGGTTTTGGCACTTTAAGAGAACTGGTTTATAGAGGGGCCATGTGACAGGAGTCTGTTAACAGGAAGCTTAGATCTCGAAACCTCCTCATTTTCCTTTGTTTGTTCCTTTTTTTTTTTTTTTTCCTACAGGGCAGTGATTTATCCCATCTCTACAGAAAGATTCACAGTTCAATGATATTCTAATATGACAACCACACACTTACAAACACCTTGCCTCAAGGATTTTGTGAGAATCAAATGTGATCAAATGAGATAATGTAGGTGAAAGTATTTTAAAAAGCCTAAGGTACTTTTCAGATGTGAGATCTTATTCCCTTGTATTTGAGTGTTTGAAGGCATTGAAATCATTAATTGGAGCACTGCTGTAACTATGCTGTAGAGCTGTGATTTGGCCTTTTTTTTTTTTTTTTTTTTGACAGGGTCTCACTGTGTTGCTCAGGCTGAAGTGCAATGGCACAATCTCAGCTCACTGCAACCTTCACCTCCCAGTCTCAAGCGATTCTCCCACTTCAGTCTCCCATGTATGACCCATTTTTCAGATAGGAACTTAGGGTTACCCCTCAAGGGTAAAGCTTAACGTAGATTTGAGCATATTCAAATCTCATCTTAAAGAATATCCTCACATCATGTTGGAATCTGGTAAATGCTAACATACTGGTGACTCATTGCTTCCCCAATGTCCTTATTTGGTAGCATGCAAATAAAAATGATCATTTTCAGATTTAGACTTTCTCAAACCGTGGTGTGAGCAGCTATTTTTACTTTTGCTTCAGTCACCATTCTCTGTAGTAGAAAGTGTATTTAGAGTTGTAAAAACTGTTTTTCCATTTGCAGCCTACATTTAAATATAGGATACAGCCACTAAAGTACTCCCTTGTCAGATACAGGAGTCACTGAAATCCAGGACTTCTGACATCTGGCCCTCATTTCCATACATTTAAGGACTCCATATCCCTAACTCACAAGTGCTTCCTAAGACTATTTCCATAGCACTTCCCCTTAGGACACCTCAATTGACTTGCAGATGTTCTACTGCTAATTCTCTTAACATTCATCTTTGAGAGTGGTGGGTCCATTGGAAAGATATCCAACTTGCAGAAAGTGAAACCTCACCCAGTCATTTGGCCTCTATTCCAGGCCATGGGACCCTGTACTTGGCTCTGTAAGAAATGACTGATGTCACCAAAAAATGAGCAAATCTTATAACCCTAACTTCCTAATTGCTGTTATCCTGTTCCACCAAAACCAAAAGTCAGGCATGGTGGCTGTAATTTTAGAGGTGGCCAAGGCAAGGGTATCACTTGAGGCCAAGAGTTTGAGACCAGTCTGGGCAAAATAGTGAGACCCCATTTCTACAAATAAGTAAATAAATTAAAAACCCAAGCCTGCTATCACGTTTCTCCAGGGGTCAGAGCTGGAGGTTACCTCCTGCTTCAGAAAGCTCCTGCTGCATCAGGGGAGCTTCGGACGCATCATCAGTTTTCACCCCAGGACTCTATGTGACCTGCATCCCAGCCTTGACTCAGCAGCCTGCACTGTGACTAACTTCCTGTGACTGGGCTTTCTGATATTGATGTTGATGATGTCCCTGCCAGGATAACTGGTCCAGATTGGCCAGCTGCGAGAATCATTTCAGGTGGGTTTCAGGTAAATCACTTTCTGATCACCAATCCCTTTCTCTTTTATCAAATCTCCTGTGTCTCTTGGGGCCAGGTTAGTGGCACTAACTCACTGAATGCTTTTTGTTTTGAGACGGAATTTCGCTCTTGTTGCACAGGCTGGAGTGCAATGGTGTGATCTCGGCTTACTGCACCCTCTGCCTCCTGGATTCAAGTGATTCTCCTGCCTCAGCCTCCTGAGTAGCTGGGATTACAGACATGCAACATGACCGACTAATTTTGTATTTTTAGTAGAGATGGGGTTTCTCTATGTTGGTCAAGCTGGTCTTGAGCTCCCGACCTCAGGTTATCCACCTGCCTTAGCCTCCCAAAGTGCTGGAATTACAGGCGTGAGCCACTGCACCTGACCTGGATGCTTATGTTTATGAGGCTTTTGGCGGTAGATGAACCTTGCTGGTTTTCCTGCCCTGGCTGTCTCCTCTTGTTTCAGATTTTGTGATAAACTGGAAGACTCAGACCCAGAATTTGACACCAAAGCCTAATGACACATGGGACAATGCCTGGCCACCAAACCTGCCCTCAGAGTGGGTGTCTGGAGGCAGGAAATAGAAGGATGATGCTAGGTGTTGCACCTTAGGCAACGGAGTGTGCTCTCTCTGTCTAAAGCCATCTGCCCGATACCCATCCCAAATGGGGACTTGGCCATTGGGGCATCCTCCACTATCCCTACGGACTCCACCATCTTTAGTGGGGACTTTGACCCCTGTAAATTCTTGCAGCATATGAAATGCCCAGTGGAAATGTAAAATAATCATGTCATCTTTCACACATTTATGGTATGTTGGCAATGTTTCTAATAGCCACTAAGGGACAAGAGTTTATCTTTCTATCTTACATCTCATAAATCTCTTCCTTTTTTTCATCCCTAGTGTAAATTGTGCTTAGACCAATAACACGTTTAAAATTATGGAGCTTTTCATCACTACGGAGATGCTCTTGCCTGTGATAGGAATGATTGTTACATCTGAAGCTGAGCAAATTTATTTTTACTCTTCGTCTGCATCAGGGTGACCTCTCTGGAAGGTAAGTGAAAGATTTTCACTTAGCTGGGCACAGGCTTTGTTCGAGGCATCTGCTTGTGAGAGCCAGTGTTTAAGGGGGAGGTTTGGGCCTAGGAGAGAGCCAGGCAATCTGTGTCTCTCTTCTTCCTTAGAGTTTCTTTTTCAGACTCCAGGCTGAGAGCGAATCATCTGAGCTCACTCACAGCAGTGAGGAACCTGGGTTGTGTGAATATAGGTCAGTTATTTAACCTGTCTGTGCCTCAGTCTTCTTTGGGGATAATAATAGCTCTGTAAGTTCATCATGAGGATCGAAAGCACTAGAACATGTGAAGAGTTCAGCA